TCTGCTCTTATATAACTATCATTAGCTTACAGCTTTAAGTGTTTAAGGTATGTGCTAACTAAAAATAAAGACAAGATGATAGTTTATTACATTTTAATGAAATTTGCAGACTTGCACACTTTTGTTTAATCAGCTGTCTGCTTGACGTTTATTCAGTGTAAAAACTATAATTTAATCTCAGCCAAACTGATTTACTCAGGAACAAATAAAATACTGAAAAAAGCCAAACAATAACATTTTTAAGTTACTTATATATCAGACGGCGGTGGGTTTGAAAACAATTTGCCGGGGTTCCGGTGTTCTCACCGGCTCTAGTGAGCCTTGAACCCCGGCTAGCTATCAAGCTGGTGGGTAACAGACGTCTCCGAAAACGTCAGAGCGCTTTTGAAAATATGTGGTGTATTGATAAACTGAGAAGATATTTGAGGTTGGGGTGAACGCCACCGCATACAGATGTCTTGAGGAAAGGAGCTACGACTGTCACATTCCTAATATCAAGTCACTCTTGAATCAGAGACAATATCAGCCCAAAGTCCTCGTTTCAGATGGAAGTAAATATATTTCATTTGGAAATCACGTGACGTTTCTGTAGTCTGTGGTGATATGGAGTGTCATGTAATCTGCTAGTGTGGGTGATTGTTGGTTCACTGTGTCCTGACCTAAGCGCCACAGAGAATCTAAGGGGCGCTGTCAAGTAGAAGAGGAGAAATCCCTGGCCCAAAAATACAGATGAGATGAATGCTGCTACAAAAACATGTCACACTGCTGAAACTAAAATTAATGGTAAAGAAGGTCCAGCCAAGTTTGGAGTGTGGAAATAGTACTACAACTTACCTAAAAACTCTTTTCAGACAATGGATATTTCCGGATCGTAAATCCTTTTTCATTAAATCTTAAATATTCTAACAATGTGAGATAGTGGATTTCCTGAGATTATCATTTTGATGCAAATAATTTAAAATGTAATTTACTTTTTCAAGATATTTTGAGAAGCACTAGTTTTTTGAATAAGTGGTGATTTTTAAGACTAAAAAAAGCTTAAAAGACCCTGAAAGAGATCTTTATAGCAAAACAAAGAATAAGATTTATTCTCCACAATAACTGCCAGTAACCTTAATATAGTTAACACTGATTACAAGTTTACTTTGGATTATAAATCTTTATAAACAGTCTATGGTTAATATGGTGTCAAGCAAGTGTCGCCACTTGATAGCCACTGTGAAATGCTTCTGGGCACTTACTACACCATTACTGTGGAGCATTATCTAAATTATCATTAATTCATTTTACCGGGATAAAAACTGGATGTACTGTATTTATCCTAAAACATTTGCTAACTTTGCGCCAAAAACAATTTGATAAAGCAATTTTTGCCCCTTTACGTTTTTGCAATTTTGAATTGCCATTCTGTTCCTTTGCAGTATGTCTGCTGGTGTTTCCCAGTAGGTCTCCATTTCTAAACAACATGAAAGGAAAGGTTTCAACCTTGAATTTTTGACACTCACAACTCCAGAACTAGCACCATCTCTGAAGCCATCTCATAGACCTGGTGGAGGTTGACCACATGGGGACAGGCGCTGGCCAGTTCAAGTACTGCAATCTCATGGATGATCTCCATCCGGCAGTCCTGCCCTTTCCGTCTCTTCCTCATTATCTTAGCAGCGTACTCATGACCCGTGCACTTCTCCACACACTTTCTGACCACAGCAAATTTTCCCCTGAAAGAAAGGAAGACCATCAGAACTATATTCATAACAGCCACTGGTAGATGACAATATAACACTGACACTGCATGCTCATTGCACTGACCAATTAAAGAAACAA